GGAGGGGGTTATAGGTAGATCATTGTGATTGGTTCCCCTTTTCTCCCCCACCTTCCCCTCCCCATCCTGGTACTGCTACTCTTAATATTGGTCCTGAGGGATTTCTCTGTCCTGGATTCCCTGGGTTTCCAGCTCTTATCTATACCCATGTACATGCTCTGGTCTAGCAGGATTTGTAAGGTAGAATTGGGGTCATGATAGTGGGGGGAGGAAGCATTAAAGAACTAGAGGAAAGTTGTATATTTCATCGGTGCTATACTGCACCCTGACTGGCTCATCTCCTCCTTACGACCCTTCTGTAAGGGGATGTTCAATTTCTATATAGCTCCATTACACCACCCCCTACCCCACCTCACCCCCCAAAAAACACTCACTGCCATCAAGTTGACGTTGACTTACAGGGTAGAACTGCCCCTGTGAGTTCCCAAGACTGTGACTCTTTATGGGAGTAGGAACCCCTGTCTCCCAAGGAGCTGCTGGTGGTTTTGAACTGCTGACCTTGAGGGTGACAGCCCAACTCATCCAATACCATTACTCAAAACCCAAAACTTAACCATAGCAACAAAACCCAAACTCACTGCCATGAAGTTGATGCCAACTCACAGAGATACTAGAAGACAGAGCGAGTCTGCCCCTCGGGGCTCCAGAGACCTCATCTTTCTCTCACGGAGCAGTGGGTGGTTTCAAACTGCTGACCTCGCGGTTAGCAGTCCAATCCATAACTCCCTGCACTGTGCTTTCACGAAATCGAGGATAACCTCCCTCCGAGACCCTTGGCATATCTAGTCCAGATTAGAATGCTCCCACTTGTTGGCAGTCTTCCCAGTTGGTCCAGATAAGTCAGGACCAACTGTGGATCACTCTAAAGTTTTCTTTTAATACAGAACATCACCCCTAGTACACTCCATGCTCATTCCTCCCTCTTTTTAAAGCCACCAGACACCCAGACACTTGTTGAAGAGCCAAGTCGTTGTTATGCGAATGCCTCACCTTCCGAGTGAGTTTCTCTGGTTCTTCCTTGTGATGTCATTCTTCGTCTTCCTCTAACCAGTGTGTTTGATGAAACTGGGAGCCAGACCTTGAGGCCAAACATTTTTTGGGCAAGAATCTTTCTCAGGTGATGGTGAATGACATCACGCTGGGAAGAACAGGACGTCCTGTTGGCTCATTCTCAGGGAGGCAGCAGGATTTCTGGGTGCAGGTGGCGAGAAGCAGATGGGACTCCCGATGCTTCCCAAACCTTCAGTTCACCACAAGCAGTCCCCATGTGACTGTCCCGCCCCTGGTGTGACCATCTGGGGCATCTCTTTTCCTCGTTAAGGAGCCCTGGTGGCACGATGGCTGCTACCTGAAAGGTTAGCGGTTCCAACTCATTGGCTGCTCCAAGGGTGGAAGATCTGGCCATGGGCTCCCATAATGACGGCAACCTGGCACTCCCATGAGGCAGTTCTGCTCTGTCCTGTGGGGTCACCGTGAGCTAGAGCTGACTCAGTGGCAGTGGATACGGGTTTCCTATTGCAGACCCAAAGTAGGATCCAATTACGATGGGCTCACTTGTTCTCTCTTACATTGGTAAGTTTACCTCTGAGATCATAAGCCAGACATCCTTCTGATTAATTTTTTAATCGTTTTATTAGGGGCTCATATGACTCATCACAATCCATACA